AAAAAAAAAAAAAAAAAAAAGACTAAAGTTTTTCAGTCAACATATAGTCTCTCATATATGTAAGTTAAAAGTGAATACTATGTATTATCTTAGTTACTGAGGGAACCAGGAAAATGTTAAAGCATTTTTCAAGGTGACTTCAGTGGTTGAGGAGTGATGGACTATATCAACAGACATAATTCACTTGATTTTCTATGGACAGGAATATTTACATTATGCTATTTTTCTAGAAATTGTAGATTTTCAGAATAGCTCAAAGATAGCAAGATGTGGAAATGGCCTAGAAAGATGCCTTAGTCAGGACATTTGGTAAAAAGTCCAGTAAATTTTTTTTTTTGTACTGGGGATCGAACTCGGGACCTTGTGCTTGCAAGGCAGGCAGCAGAACCACTGAGCCAAATCCCCGACTAAAAGTTCAGTAACCTTTTTTTTATTAATTATTTTTAAGGAATAATTTTATTTTATTTTTTATCTTATTTTACTGCAATAGAACACAGGGCCTCACATGTTCTGGGCAAGCACTTCTGCACTGAGTGACATCCCTAGTTATTTTATTTTATGGTACCGGGTCTTGTTAAATTTCCTGGGCTGGAATTGAGCTTGCGATCCTTCTGCCTCAGGCCTCCTGAGAATTTATTTATTTATCTATCTATTTATGGTACTGGGGATCCAACTTGGGCCCTTGTGCTTGCGAGACAGGCACCAGAACCACTGAGCTAAATCCCTGGCCCCCGAGAATTTTATTTTGAAAAAACGTGGGCTCGTGTGTAGCTCATTGTTAGAGGGCTTGTCTAGAATGTCACCCGGGTCTGAGTGACCCCCTCTTTCCCAACCTACTCTGTTGCTCCCATTCTGACCTCTCAGCTCCTGTCCCCACTCCTCCGGTAGTAATCTTTCTTTCCCCCTGTTTTTTAGCCTTTCCCAATTTTTTCTGACAGTTTCCCCTTTACTCCTTGGGACCATAACTAACTTTCAAAAGTGAAAGTAAGTTTTTACTCTCAAGAAGCAAAATAATGCAATTTGTTTGGCTTTCAATTCATGTGTACTTTGTGTGTGTCAGAATTTCCAGTAGTGCATGTGACTGACGCTGGGCAAATGTATATGGAAGAATGAGCTGGGGAAGTAAACTATTTCCTGAACCAAGAAAGAACGAAGCAAAGTATCCGTCTCTACAAAAGATTTCCAAGTTACTGAAATGCTTATTATTTTCTTTACAAAGGAGAAATGCCTAGTGAAAAACCCACTTGCTGTCTGTAAAGTATTAACACTTATGATAATGAATATATAATCAAATGCCAAAGGTTTCTGCGAACAATTGTCTATTTCTTGCTGAAGCAGAGGGTGTGAGGATCTGTAGGATCTGTATCAATAGGGAATGGTTTGATCTGCTCTAATGGGGGGTTGGGGAGTCTGGACTAAATTGTTTCTGCACTTTTGCCACTAAGAATACTCCTAAGCCCTGCCATTTGAGGAGTAATAATTAGAAATACAATATTTTATGTGTAAAAGGATTTTATTCAAGCCTTGTGATCTGAGAGGCCTTCAAAGAAAATGAAGACACTGTAGTTAAACAAGTCTTGAGCTGATGTGAGGAGGAAGAGCAAGGGCTTGAAGTAAAGGTAGGGGAAATTGATAAATATGTTCTCAACACAATGTCTATTTCAGAAGTCCTAGCAGGGGAAGCCATTCAGGAGGTGGAGAAAGGCCAACACAATAAGAATTTATATTAGGAATGAATGGGGTGCCTCGGCCTGGGATGAAAAGAAGCCAGTACCAAGAAAAAAGAATAGAGTGGAAGAAAAAGAGATAGTACCTAGAGGTAATAGGAATTTCAAAGTTGAAGAATCCATGTGGCTGAGCAAAAATATTAATTCAGCCTAATAAATATTTGCACCACACTTTCTGGTTTACAAGGTCTTATGCATCTATAGCATATAATACTAATACCAGTAGTTTTTTTTTTTGGTACTAGGGATCAAACTCTGGTCCTTGTGCTTGTGAGGCATGTAGCGAGACCACTGAGCTAAATCTCCAGCCCCTCAACAATAATTTTTGAGTGCAATAATTATTATTATCCATTGTTTATAAATGAAGAAAGTGGGCCAGGAATGTAGCTCAGTGGTGATGTCCCTGCTTGGCAAGTGCAAGGTCCTGAGTTCAATTCCTGAACTCAATTTATATTCAATTTCTGAATATATATGAGGAGACTGAGGTTCAAGGTGATTAATTGATTTGCTTAAGCTATGCTAGAAAAAAAAAGAGTGAGGACTTGAATGGATGCCACCATATCTGCAGTGATTTTTAGTCTATACCAGAGTATTCACACCTGTGGGATGAGGCCAGTGAATGAGCAGCCAGTTCTAATGAGTCTGTTGTTGCTCTTTTGGGGACGAGTGGGGTAAACTTTTATTGATCTGACCAGCTTTCCTAGTGGCAGGCTTAGGCAGAACTTCCCTTTCTGCCCTAGCTCTCACCTTTCCTCTCTTGGCAGTTCATGAAACACCCCAGGAGAGAGAAATATCCCGGGGAGGGGTGACAGGCAAGGCCAGGGGAAGATACAGAGGGGTGGGACCTGAAAGATGCTCAGGGAGGTTTAGTAAAGATGGAGTTGCTAGCCCATCCAGATAAAACATCCATGCAGGACACGCAGGCCCTTCTAACCTTGCCAGGAGGGGAAGGTCGGGAGGACGAGCGGACCCTAGCGGCTACTATTGTACCCTTCTTGCCATCAGCCTTTTTCACCAATGCCCTCAGCTTCCTTAATGCTCCACTCTAGGTAGGATGTTTTCTTCTCTAGTTCCTTAATGTTTTCTCTGGCTATTTCTGTATTTCTCTGGCTATATTTCTGACTGTGAGTTATCTTGCTGTTTCCTGAACAAGTCCTACTTTACCATGACTCCATTCTTGTGTTTGTTTTGTACTTAGGTCTTAAGAACTCCTATTTGTCCCTCAAAACACCACTCAAAAATTGCTCTACAGAAAAGCAGCCCTCACTTCTGTCTGTAATATATTTGGCTCTTTCCTGTGCTACCACTGTGCCCATCTTTGTCTTCTCAACAGAACATTGTACACAGCATTGGGTTTGTGGATGTATAATCAGCCACAGTTCTATGCTGTAAGTGCCTATCTTTATTTCATGTTGTATCTCCAGCACCTAGCATAATATCTGATACTTAGTAAGTTTCTGGCAAGCATTTGTGATTTAACAAGAAAAAAATCAAGTTGATGGATTTGAAGCCACTCTCAGTTCATGTTTTCTTTTTTGGTCCCTGGTTTTCTTTTCTTCTCATATTTATCATCCACTTTGGGCATTTCATTTTATTTCAAGAGGCTATGGGTATTTATGTAAGCCACCTTAAGCAGAATTCTGCCATTCTAATCTAGACACTGCCTCTCAGGGAATCAGACATGGTTGGCAGAGCTCAAGGCTCAGGACTCATGGTTTCTTCTGGGACATTCACAACAGGGGAGGAGAGCTGTGCACAGACAGGCATCACTGCAGTCAGCACTGCGACTACTAAAAGCAAGCACGACATGATTGTCTTCAGAAAACTTTCCAGCCAACCTGAAGTCTCCTGCTAGGATGGTGCTTTGTTTAAAGAGATATCTATTACCAGGGAAAGCCAGGTCTGTACTTGGTTTCTAATGGTTTTTCTCTCTTATTTTCTTTTTAATTATTATTGCATTTTAGAATGAATCGGAATCGGATCAACAATGTCTTCTTTTTGAATGACCAGACTCTGGAATTCTTAAAAATTCCTTCCACTCTTGCACCACCCACAGATCCATCTGTGCCCATCTGGATTATTATATTTGGTGTAATGTTTTGCATCATTATAGTTGCAACTACACTATTGGTTTTGTCAGGGATCCGGCGACGTAGAAGGTAAGATATTTAAAAGGAATGATTCAAAGAGCATTTGCTTTTGTTTTCATGACTTAGAAAAATAAGCAGATTTTCCTCTGGTTGAAGGTAATGCCTTAAGAACTTGAAAAAGTATTGATTTTCAAAATATCACTTTTTTGGGGTCTTGTTTGGTTTGTTTTAGAGTCCAATGTGTCCCTTAATGAGGTTCTTTCCATTATTTTCTTTCTCTCTATTCTATACTACATAAATGTCTCATATTCAGACTTAATTTTCATATCTGTGTTGTGGTTTTGTATATCAAACACACGGAGCTAAGCAGACTTTTCTGGCAGTTAATCTTGGGTAGTCATTCATGTCCAAAAGCCAGCAGTTCTACACTTCCTTCAAAGCCTCTCCACCTTGGCTTGTCTCTTCTTAGCCCAGGGCCTGCAGGACATGCTGTCCCCCCAGATGCCTTGTACTGCTTCATTCGTCCCTCCCATTGCTGGATGTGCATCTCTTGGTGCCTGTGATAGCTACACTTGGGTTCCTCCTGGCCTGTGAATCAACTCTGTGCCTCAGAAGTATGTAGAACACTTAACGTATTCACCAAGATAGAATATCTGAAGGGGATGCATTTTAATGAACATCCAGATGATCCTAATTCACTTAATTTGAGTTAATTTATTGTGGTACTGGGGATTGAACACAGGGTTTTCCTTGTACTGAGCTACATGGCATGATCAAAATATACAGTGAATGTTTAAAATTTTTAAAAATGCATAATAATAAAAAACACATTGCCATTAATTGTCCTCAAGACACCCACCCTCACTTCAAACACACTTAACTCACTGTTCTTGGAACTTTCTGAAGCAATTCTGGAGGTCCTCTTTCATGTCTTTATGAGGTATGATCAAAACTATGGGGGATGCTGTGCCAAGTGCTACCCAACAGCAGGGGTCATAAAGACACTATGGGTCCGGGGATTTAGCTCGGTGGTTCCGCCGCCTGCCTCGCAAGGGCAAGGTCCTGAGTTCTATCCCTGGTACCAAAAGAAAATTAGAAACATTATGGCATGTCCTCATCCACCTTGCTCACCAGATCTGGTACTGGGTACCTTTTCTGGCTCTTCCCCAAAGTCAAAATAATCCAGGATTCCAGGCAGCCACAACAATGCAACTAAAGACACAAAAGAGGACCCTCTAGAACTGCTTCAGAAAGGGGATAAATATGTTCAAAGCAAGGAGGAGTATTTTTTTTGAGACAGGGTCTGACTATGTAGTTGAGACTGACCTGGAACTCATTTTGTAGCTCAGGCTGGTCTCGAACTCACAGCAATCCTCCTGCCTCAGCCTCCCGAGTGCTGGGATTACAGGCGTGCGCCACCATAACCTGGCTAGGGAGGAGTATTTTGAGGGGTATTAATGGCAATGTGTCTTTTACTCTAATCAATTTTTAAAATGTAAACATTCATTGTAACTCAATCATACCATATATATCCCTATTTCATTTTAATGCTTTAAATTGAGATGAGATCTCTCTAATTTGTTAAGTTGTCCAGGCTGGACTCAAACTTGTCATCCTCCTGCCTTAGTCTCCCAGAGTGCTGTGATCCATGCCCCATAAAAACTTCCAATTTAATAATTTATACATAGAATCCTACTTCTTGAGTTCATTTACCTGGGTTCGGGGGGCACTTGCAAACTCAGCGGTCTGAATGATGGATACTGCTTCAAAAGAGGGCAGTTCAGACCAGCAGGAGAGTTACTGAGGTAGTGAGGAGAGGAGGCAGGCTTTCTCAGTGTGGTGCAGAAGGAATAGAATTTTGTTTATAAAACCTCTAATCCAGAGGCGAAGATGAGAGATACTGCATTTCTTCACCAAACATTTTAATGCTTCTAACCTTCTGTTTTGGTCCTGAGGAAGAGGAATTCTGGTAAACGGGAATCACAGGGACATGCATTTCAAAGTCACAGGGGCAGGATTTTCAAGTGTTGGTACCTACATGAAGTATGGGATGTGTTTGGCTAACTGTGTTTTCAAGTAAATGCTTCTCTTGATGTTTACTACTTTTCATGTTTTGCCCTAATTACTGACAGGAAGTATCTTAAATCTTAGACATTGTAATTCTTTCACAAATAATAGATGGAATACCATGGATTAAATGTGTCTATGCCGCAAATTAAACCCAAAGATTATCACCAAGTTGTTCCTTCTTGATATTCTTAGTGATCTTGACATGATATGTAGTGAAAAAAACTTGACATAAGGTGCTTGTTTTGAGAGTACTAAGAAAATTCTCTTGCAACACTAGCATACCTATGTTTAGTAATTTTAAGTCTAGTATTAATTTCGAGATGTTGTGATTCTATGGTTTCAAAGGATTGGTACCCTAAGTGAATTAACTTCATTTCCATGGTTCCCAACTTCTTCATTAATAGAATGTAATGCAGGAGTTAGAAGAATGGATTCTAGAGATAGACCACTTAGATTCAGAGTGTCTCTTAGACTGTGCCCTTGTGTATAAACCCTTAGGAAGCACAAACAATGAGTCAATGAAACTAAATTTAGGAGAATATGGTTTGTGGTGCTAGATTTATCTTTACTGTCTGCACATAGATAACTTTTCTAGAGCAACAGCTAGGTATACTGGAAATAATTAACTTGATAGAATAAAGCAGTCAATACTGTAGAGCGCTTAGAGAGGTACCTGGCACATAGTGAGTGCTCAGTAAGTGTTAGCTGTTACTATTATTTTATTATCTTTCCATTTGCTGATCTTTTAGCTAGTTTGTGATAGGATCAGCTATTTCCTTCTCTGCACATTCTACAGTAATATATAGTATTTGGGTGCGTAGCATTATAATCCGTTGCCTGGGAGAAATGAGGCTGTTGTTACATCCTTGCCTTCATAAATTCGTGTTCAGACTAGGAAAGCAGATGGACAGATCTCTTGTGTAAACTGGAAAGCATAGATAATTAGCAAATATAGTGAGGAAAATTATGACAACTTCCTGGAGATAAATTGTTTTGTTGGGTTTTAAGTTTGATACAATCTGTGGTAGCTTTGTTGTGGGCAAAATATTGCTTCAAAGATGAAGAAAGGGTGCAATCTGAAGTAGGGAGATCCCTAATAATTGTGATGAAAACTCTTTTTAATCATGGAAAACATAAGAGCTTCTCTTCCTTAAGCCTTTAGTCTAGCCTAGAGTGGCTAGTCCTCAGGCCTTGAGGAAGACAGAGAAATGCTTAACAATCCAGTCCATCCATTAGATAATAATGAATATAGTCTGTATGGTCCAAAAATCTTAAGTTTAAATGATCTGGAGGTACCACAGCATCATCTGAGTCACTATGGAAAAGAATGTCAGAGTCATCTGGGATGCATGCATATTTAAAATTACTGTTGAAGAAATGTCTTATACAAACCTTTAGTAATTCCATTAGTTTTGTCAATAACAGCATCATGTTGATTATAATGTGGAGAGTGTGCATTGGAATCTAAACTAAGTAAACTCAAATACCAGTTGTGCTGTTTACATTCATGATCTTGATCAAGTCACCTAATTTCCCTGGGCCTCAGTTTTTCCATCTGCAGCTGGACCACAGTATCTCATAGGGCTTTCATTAAGAATGAATGATATAAATGTTGTATAAAGTACTCAGAATATAGTATGTTAAACAAATAACAATTATTATTATTTAAGAACAACTTAACCCATTGCTTTGATTACAGGGTGCTGGGAAAGGATCTTTTTTCCACCCAGATTTTGCCATAATACTTTAAGATAATTCTCCAGTTCACTGACTCATTGCTTGGGATTTTATTCATTAGTAAACATCTATTTTAAAGGCATAGTTGACAAAATTGTTTATGCTCATACAAGATGGTATACAAGATGGTGCTTTGGTCTATGTATACATTGTGAAGTGGTTGGATCAAACTAATCCATCACCACAAATTTTGTTTTAATATTTATTGAGTTTATTGGCACATTTTAGGTGCTCACTATGATCACAGTCATCATTGGGAATTTGTACCTGTACATGATATATCTTGGTTCTTGTTTTTTTCCCATTACCCTGCCCTCCCTTCAACCCCTCCAGTGCTCTTTATTTATATAAGCTTTGTTTCCCTGTTCCTTTTTTTCTTTCCCTTCTTTCCTTTCCCTTGCCCTTCCCACCCTAGTTCCCCTTCCCCTTTGAATGTTTTCTTCCTATTTTGCAATATCTGTTATGCATTTTGGTCCTCATTTACACTTTCAGTTTCTCACACCAGAGAAAAATACGGTATTTACACATGTGTGTCAGATTTATTTCACTTAAGAGTATGGCCTCAAGGTGCATATAGCTATAAATGTCTCTAGTTTATCTTTCTTTATGGCTGAGTAGTAGTATGGCTAAGTGGTTTATAATAAACCACATCTTCTTTATCCAGTCTCCAGTTGATGGGCATTTGGGCTGTTTCCAAGATTTAGCTGTTACAAACTGTGCTGCTATAAACATGGGTGAGCGTATATCACTGCCATCACCTCACACACTTAGCTGTTTTTGTTTAGGTACTGAGGATTGAATGCAGGGCACAGAGCTACTTCCCAAGTCCTTTATTTTTTATTTTGAGACAGAGTCTCGCTAAATTGCTAAGTTGCCCAGCCTGGGCTCAAACCTGAGATGCTACTGCCTCAGCCTCCCTGTGATTATAGGTGTGTACCACCATACCCAGCTGCGCATTTAGCATTTTTTATGGTGAGAACAGTAAAGATCTACTGTCTTTAACAGTTGTCAAATATGCATTATTATTAGCTGTACTCATCATGCTGGACAGTAGATCTCCCAAACTTCCTCATTTTATCTAGTTGAAACTTTATACCCTTTGACCAAAATCTGCCTGTTTCTATTCCCTAGCTCTGGCAGCCACAATTCTACTCTCTCTGCTTCCATAAGTTTGATTTTTCTTAGATTCCATATGTAAGTGAAGGTCGTGTGGTTATTTGTCATTCTGTGTCTGGTTTGTTTTACTTACTCTAATGTCCTCC